GGGAGGGTTTGGATGCTTCAGTTGAAAATGAAAAGAGAATGTAGAGAGGAGGTTATCTATCTAATTTTGCAATGAGAAAGCAATGGTACTGATAGATGTAATGGTACAGAAAAGTTTTTATGCTTGGTCAGCTAAATACTATCCTTCTGCAACTACTTGATAAGGAAAATTTACGAGGCCATGCATTTTGCCTTGCTTCTGTTTTTTTTCTTTCCATCATTTAGTAGCATGAACAACGATACTATTCCCTTCATATAACTGCATTGTCATGTCCTTTTTCTCCTTCTCTTTATCACCATTTATCTCTCCACCAATTTCTTCGTCAAACTTAATTGGCTTCATCTCGTTATTTTTCCCCCAAAGTACTCCATACAGTCCCAAAACTATCAAAACTGACCCTACGACCCTGAAAGTTTTCCAGAACACACACATTTTGATTTAGTTAATAGGATCAATGGTAATATAATGAGAGGTGCTTCAATATATATACTCTAATAACTTACGTTCCGATGTAGATTTTCTCTTGAAGCAAAGCCCAGCTGAGAATGGCCACAATCACTAGCAATAAGGGATTGAATACAGAAACATACAAAGGACCCTTTCTTTCTATACACCATGACATTAGACAGTATGCTAATGCAGTACACACCACTCCCTGCAATTTATATGTAAAAGAGTTAATTAATTAGTCCATTTTTGGAATACTGTGAACAATATTCAGGAATTCTAGAAGATGTATCTGATGTAAAATAGTGTATTTAACTTGTGTAAATAAATTTTGCACTGTTACGCAATTTATCTTTGTTGTAGCAGGTGAATCTGCCTTATTTTTCAAATAACTACTATTCCACTTTCATGTACTTATCTTTTAAATGATGTACTTGATATTGGAAAAATTCTATAACGCTATTAATTGATATAAAGAAAGTTAAATTTTATAGTAATAATTTAGGAGGATATACCGCATAAATAGCAGAGACAGCTCTGATGCTATGGCTCAAGGACCAATCAGATAGATTATGATCAAAGCAAAAGCCAATGATCAAACACTGAAAACTGGCCATTAGACACATCAATGCTGAACTAGAATAGGGAGCTGCATAATCCATGCTTACTCTTGCCTGAGCATCAACATATCAAAATAGAGACAAATAAACTTCAATAAATAGCACTAGTATAATATATAAGAGGTAGGTAAACTAGAATATAAAATATGATAATAGCACACCTGAAGGATGGACCAAACTCCCCAAGAAATAGCACTAACTATGAGGAGAAAAGGTCCTAACATGAAATTTCCATGGTTGGTACTGCTTTTGTTTTCTGTCATGTCTTGTGCATATTTCCAGTGGATGTTTGGTTGATCAATTGGAACTACAGATCCGTGGTAAAATGACAATAACATAGCACCTCCTACACATAATATGGTTCCTAGCATCTTTGCTTGCCCTGCTTTTGTCCCAAGTCCCACTCTTTCAAGTCTGCCGAAACCAAATATATATACTTATAATTAAAGAACTAGAGTTAAAAACTATTACTAGCAGTAGATTTAAGCTACAAACACTGATACAGCAAAAAAAAAAAAATTAAAAAAAAATTTACACGAGTTGGTGTAGTTAAATATATTAAAACAGGTGAGAGATGATAGTTAGAACGAATGATTACCCAAAAGGGATAGCTAGAAGGAAAGTGACTGCTGGGGTTAGATTTGACAAAGCACAAGCAATAGTTGGAGTGGTATTCTTGAGGCCAACGAAGTATGTGATCTGGTTCATACTTACCCTGCAAAATTTATCGAGAGCTTTCGTCAGTAATTCAAAGGAAAATTGAGCAACTAGAAAAGGTTGAAGAAGGAAAACAAAAGACTGCGGACTCACCCAAAAATAGAGCACAAGAAGATCTGGAAAAAGATAGAGGGAGTCAACTTTGGCCTTGTTTTCCTGCACAAAAACCCACTTCAGAGATCAAATAAGAAGATAAAACTCATTCACGCTTTTGTCTAAGTACATTAATACGTAACGTAGAAAAAAAAATGTTAGAGAAGACTAGTAGTAGTAGTAGTAGTAGATGAGAATTCCCTTACCGTGAAAATTTGATCATTTTACGTGAAGGTGAAATGTCAAATGACAAATTTGTATAACTAAGTTAGTACTATTGTTTATACTATATCAGTTTCCCCGCGATATGTGGTTATACTTTTGCTAAATTAGTTGATCTCGTACAAGTAAACAACTACATCTTTGAGAATGAGAAAGTAAGTTCTTTTATCATTTTTTTAAGTGTAGAAGTCATGTGGTGTGCAAGTTTATACATGCTAAGAGTAGGTAAATAGTTTCCAGCAAGGTATAATTTGAGGTTTCCGTAATTCTCCAATTGATCATTCATAAAATAATCTGGATTTTTTTGTCCCATTTTATTTCTCTTACGCAAGGGCAGCTTATCAGCCTGCTAAAAGTATTTAGTGGGATAACTAAAAGATACTGCGGAAAAAAGATACACGCCGTTTTTAAAAAAATAAATAAATAATGAATAATATTTTAACAAAAAAGCAAAGACTAAAAAGTCTAGGAGCTGCCAAATTATTAGAAGAAGCAAGAATGAAAGTAGTGAAGCCATGACAATTTCGTGAACCCTTGCATGGTTCCAAGAACTAAAAAAGTAACCGATCGATAACCCAACCAGTGCATGAAAATGTCAGAGAGAATTAACCAACCAAAGCATGCTAAATAAAGTAATGAGTAAAAGATTACTGTACGATGCATGCAATCAAGCTTTGAAAAATATTGAAAAAAGAGTTTGAGAAAGAAAATGGAAAGCCATATATAATTGGTGTGTGCAGTAGTTTACAGACTGTAGGTTTTAATTTATGATGTCGCACCTTTCCAAGAAATAAGCGAAGGGTGCAATAGAAATGGTGGCAAATATTTGCCTGTAAGCCACATGAACAAAAGGGTTCATCCCTGAATCCATGGCAAGTTTTGAAATAATATTCATGCCCGCATAACCTAACTGCACAATCACCATTGTCAAGAAAGGCAACAAGTCATGACTTGCCATTAATAATATTTTTTCCTTCTTCCTCCAAATTCACAACTTCTTGAGAACAAGAAGAATGAGAAATGGAGAAAGAAGACAAATAGCTAGCTAGTAATAAAAGAAAGAAAAGAGGCTTTATAAAGAGACTAGAAATGAGAGAGAAAGAAAGGGTTTTCTTTTGGTGATATTTATACAAGAAAGATCTAGAGGGCAGGAGGGTCTATTTTTGTGAAGCTCAAGAAATGACCTGTATAATGGGAAAAAGAGACTAAGGGGGAAAAAACCAAAGTACAACCGTCAATAGGAAGGGGTTTCTTGTAGGACATGGATAGCTTATTTTCATGCATAGAACTTGCCATTAAATTCTTGCATAAGATCAAGAATATTGAGGAGATAAAGTAGCTTTCAGTTAATCTTTAGTGATTGCCAGCTTTGGCCTCTTTTGCAGAAGCTTGCAGCAACCAAATTTCTATTTACATTTTGCCATGTCACCTTCGACAAAAGCATTTTGTGTATGTCACCAAAGCATGGACTTATTTGACGGTTTCATTTCAATTTGGTTTGGACTTGTATTTCAATTTAATTTATCTCATATGCACCAGGTAATGTAAAGAAAAATATGGTATTCCATCCGTTCCGGTTTACGTGAACCTATTTCTTTTTTGGTCTATTTCAAAAAGAATGACCTCTTTTTAAATTTGGAAACAATTTAGTTTAAACTTTTAATTCTACCCTTAATGAGAAGCTTTTATAACCATATAAATACTCTGAACCCCCTTTTAACTTGTTTAGGACCACAAATTCGAAAAGTCTTCATTTTTTCTTAAACTTCGCGTCTAATCAAACAAGTTCACATTAATTGGAACGGATGGAGTATTAAGTATAATATAATATGTGTATAGCAAGTTGCCTATTATATATTTTTAGATTACTAATTGCACTTATTATGAACACTGATACGTTATTTTTTAACCGACTCAATAATTTTTACTCTCATGTATAGAGGTTAGACTCATATAATAATTGTTATACAATTGGTTGTTTTTGTCTTCAAGAATCATAGGAATGAATATATTGTCTTATTGATAAAAGGAATTAGTAAAAATTTCTCTTTCTTTTTCTTGATAGAGTTTATATTGAATAATTTTACTGGATGATATAATTTACGCCACCGTTATAGATGAAGAGAGCTCACGCATTTCTTAGGGGGTTAGAAACTTAGAATCGTGGGTTATTGTACACGTTTCTTTTCAATCATTCATGGAAGGTAGACAATGTCACGAGAGGTTAGCACATTGATGCGAGATCCACGTTCGAAACGAACTAAAGTTAACAATTTCCTCTTTGGGAAGAAGTATTAAGAGAACAAGACTATCGATTATAGAGTATTTGCAAACAGAACAATTGTACATACGTAACAATCTAAAGATACATTTATAATACACTACTATTTTGAAAGACGGAGCTACAAGCCATGACGTTTTGTAATTGGGTGCGTATAAAGTGCGAGCTGTAAGCTTATGAATTTTTTATTTTATATTTGAAAGTTAAAACAAGTTTAATACAGATTAAAGTATAAAAAATATTACATAATATAAAAAAATAATAATGTATACTAAGATTAATTTAAACATTGTATATGCGCAAAACAGTATTATAGGTTACCAAATATTTAATTGTAGAATCATCTGTAACATTAATCCATCCCACAATTTGAATCAACCGATTCATTGAATAACTCTTAAGTAAACTATTAAACTAATAAGAGCTGTATCGTCTAACTTCACTCAAAAATGAAACTTGGATATTTATAGAAGCTAAATAGAAATTATTTTCGAATTTGATCATTTCTTAGATTCTGTTGAATTGTATCGGCTCCAATTTCGATTTTAAAGCGAACAATTTTGATTTAGTTATTGATATAAGGAAAAGGAAAGTAAGTAAAGTAAACAAAAAAATTCTTCTTTTTATTTGAACCCACCCGATCAAAAGAGAAAATGTTGAGGTGCACGAGGGTGGATCGTCCAATGTAGGAGTGGCGAACGGGCGGGTCGGGTATGAGCGGGTCAAAATGGGTAATTTAAAAAAACGGATAAATTATCCGACCCGACGCGTATTTGAGACGGATAAAAACGGGCTTATCCGGCGGATAATATAGATATCCATATTATCCATGGCTTTTTAAATATGATAACTTATGAGAGAATTCCTAGTCTTCCAAACTTGAGGAACTCCAATTTGAGGCTTTACAAATGTAAAAGTTAAACACATTAGTTATCCATTGGATATCCATTTGGTTAACCGCATTTTCTAAGTGGATAATATAATTCTTTATCCATATTCGACCCGTTTTTAAATTGTTCATTATCCAACCCATTTTTAATGGATAATACGGGTGGATAACTATTTTGTTTTAACCATTTTGCTCACCTCTAGTCCAATGCGTAAAGCGTGCCTCGAACACTCTTGGATATATGGGACGGGAAAACCTAAAGAAATCACTAATTTTTTTATTTTAATAATTAAAAGCCACCTTCAAGGTGGGAACATAAGTGGATTCAGAATTTAAATTTTGTAGGTTCAATTTTTAATATTTTAATATTGAACATATTATATTTGTAAAGTTATAAGTTCATATTTACTAATTATTATAACTTTATTAACTTTTACCACATATATTTATGTCTCATGTTCAAATTAGTGGATTCAAATGAATCCGGTAATATAAGGGTGGATCTGCCCCTAGTGAGATCTTCACAAAATCATTTTACTCAGTTCAAATTGTGATTGATCACGTGAGATCATTTCTCACGGCCCCAATAACTGAATCGGAGCGTTTAGAGACTAGTACTCTCTTAAAGTGAAATTTTCGTTATGAAATTAATCTATGGTGATCTTAGTAAATCTATGATGATCTTAGTAAACATGCAATAGCATAGCGATAAGTGTCATTATTGTTACCCTGACTTTGATCACTTAAATTATAAATATATAAATTTTAAGTTGAAAAAAAGAAAAAAAGACATTGTACTGTACTTTACACTCTGTTTGGATCATTGTACTCTGTCGTTTTATAATGTATTGTATTGTATTGTATCGTATCGTATCGTTTTATAAATACAATATTTAGATAGATTGTATTGTTCGTTATTGTTAAATAATATTTTGTTGTTTGTTTTAACTGTATCGTACTGTACTGTAACTGATAAGTTTACTAAAATACCCTTAATTATTTAAATATTAAATTTATCAAAAATTATGCATAAAATAATTTTACAAAATAAAACAAAAGAAGGCAAAACACCTTAAGAAAATAGAACAAAGGAGCGAGACAGAAGAAGGCAAAACAAATGAGCACATCTAATTAGAATTGAGTTAAAAGTAAATTAGGAAAAAATAAAACAGAAGGCGGCAAAACACCTTTAACGTTGGCGGTAGAAGTTCTGGAAAAAAATTAAGTAGGATTAGGTTGGAGATTTGGAGTTAAAATAGAAAAAAAAAAAAAAAGGAAAAGGATAAAATAGAATTGCGGAGTAATAACTTAGTGCATAGTTGGAAAGAAAAGAAGGAAACAATCCCACCACACCAAATCGGTTGTTTCAAAAAAGGAGACTTTTCATTGTTCCGGAACAATGAATTTAATAATACAATACAATCAATTTTAATGAAACAATCAAAACAAACATCATTTTGAGATGACAATACAATAGGATACAACGGGGAACAACCATCCAAACAAGCTGTTAGTTGGTGATCCGGTAAAGGGATTGTTCTCTCGTGTGAACTACCCTTTGAAATAAAAAGGCAGCTTAGATTGTTTGTTCTTATCATCACTTAATTCTACTAAAACTAAAAGAGGGCACGTAAACTGCAGCCACGAAATTAAATTCAATCTGTTCCACCATGCAATAATTAGAGCTAATAATTGTTGTGTAACATACTATACAACAATATAATTTGAGAAATTTAATACGAAATCACATTTCCGTAAAACACATCGACCAAAGAAATAAATTAAACCATGCCATAGTAATATATATACCTATGATCATATTATTGGATAATTTATTTGGGACGCAACAATCAAATGACAAGCAAAAGCACGTAGAAGTAGAGCTAAGAAATGGGACCCTTCTCCTAGCTATTTCCAACCCTTCTTCGAGGGCAACAATTCTGGGAATGTTTTATGATAAGATCGAAACTCTGACTTTGAATCCAACCCGTGACTCAGCTTCCATTCTGCGTTTCGCTTTTGTTTACGTTTCTTGATTTTATCTTTCTTATTATGATTATGGTCTACATTTTCTTTACTTAATTATAGCAGTTTCTGTTAATTTTCTTTCAGGATCTCTTTATTACTTCTCCATCTAAGCTTATTAAGCAAATGCAAAATTAATAGCTTGTTTGGTCAGACTTTTTTTTGGTCAAATTTTTTAAGTGCTTTATTCAAAGTGAAAGTGTTTGGCCAAACTTTTAAAAGGAAAAAAGTACTTTTGAATATAAGTATAAATAACTTTTTAAAAGTAAAAATAAATAACTTCTTCTCAAAAGTAATTTTTGAAAAGTACTTTTGATAAAAATACACTTGTAACAATTTCTCCAACTAAACCAGTTCAAATCATTAAAAAAATAGACAATATAAGCTCAATAAAACATTACCCACTCAATTCTAACCACGTATAAGTAATGAATGTTCAATTTTCTATATCACATATTTTATTAGTTTTGAATTTTTACTTGTTAAGTAATATTTTTGAAATTAGGTCAAAATATAAATTGTGGTCTTAAAGATAGGGGTGTTCGTCAGTCGATATTGCACGGTATTTAAATATTTCGGTTCGGTGTTTTTGGTATTTGGTTTCTTAAAATGCTATACTAATACCGTACCTAATTAAATTCGGTATGTTTCTATTTTTCTCCTTTCGATTCCGGTTTATTCGGTTCGTTACTTCGGTTTGAATACTAACTAGTGCATTGAGCCTTAAACTGTAATATTCTTAATTAAAGTACAATGAAAATGTGTGTCGACAAAAGTTGTCCAAAACCAGCAAATATCAGCCCATAGATAGAAAACTATACATAAAGGAATAAATTGATAATTAGAAATGTCTTCTTACTTGTTTAGAGTTAATTGATAAACTTAGAGAAAAAAAAAGAAGTAAAATTTTACATTTTTTATATTTATGTTATAATTAATAATATGTGTATTATGTAATGTAATATATATTTCGGTACGGTATAGTATTTCATTTTAAAATGCCAAATATCATACCTAATACCAATATTTTTAAAAAATTAAACAAAAAACTATACCGAATACATCGAATACCAAATACTAAATTTTTTAATTTCGATACAATAATTCGATATTTAGCAAATTATACACAACCCAACTTAAAAGATGTCCGCCCAGCGTTTTTTCGCTGCCTAATTTCTGGGCAACTTTCCTAGTTTGGGTTTTTCCATTTTAAGGCCCGTTTGACTTCTATTTTAAAGCACATTCATTTGCATCAGCAATATGTTATAGGGAAGGCCCATTCATGTCTAATCGCTGGGGCTTTTGCATCTATACTTCTTTTTTGTGTCATAATTGAAGTTATATCCATTTTATAAAAAAATTTATAAGTCTACCTACTTTACGATCAACTTCAAACGTAACGGGCCTGAAGTTAAAAAAAAATTAATCTGAAGTGCAATGCACTTAAGGCCAATTAAGTCTAAAGTGCAAAATTTACACTTAAGATGCACTTAAGGCCAAATAGGTCTGGAGTGCAATAAATATTTTCATGCACTTAAGGTCAGAGAGGTCTGAAGTGAAAAAATTGCACTTCAACTATACTTAAGGCCAAATAGTTCTAAAGTGCAACCAATGGTTTCATGCACTTAAGGCCAAAAAATCTGAAGTGAAAAAATTGCACTTCAGATGCACTAAAGCCAAATAGGTTTGAAGTGCAACCAATGGTTTCACGCACTTAAGGCCAAATAGGTTTGACGTGCAACCAACGTTTTCATGCACTTAAGGCCAAATAAGTCTGAAGTGAAAATTGCCAAAAACAGAAATTTGTTCTTCGAATTTTAACAATCTAATATACAATTTAACACCTAAATCTACTCCAAATGAGCTCAAATTTGAAACGTAACCTCCAAATATCATCAAGAATGAATCCCAATCATCAATTTGTCAAAACAACAATAAATCTAACGAACCCATTTTGCAATTAAGAAAAAGAAGAAGAAGAACCCCAAGCAATAGTAAAAAATAAAGCGTCACAGCAGCTCACCACTATAAAATATCATAAACTACCTTAAATATATCACAAACGCCATATAAAATTACTGTCCGAAGAAGAAGAATAAGCAGAAGAAAAAAGAGGAGAAAAAGAACTGAAGTTGTTTAAACTTGGATACTAAATAAAATAAAAAATTTAAAATGAAGGCATAAGTTAAATGGAGGCAATGAAATAGGACGCTTCCAACTAATGCTTGATATGCTCGATTCGATGCCCAATTTCGGTAGCATGATCCATGTGACTTCATCTGTACTCTCGTTTGTCCAAACATGACCTGAATTATTGGCGGACCCATATACCAACAACTACAACTGTTTAAGTTTAACTTTCTGAAAATGTAATCAACTAATGAAAGCCGCCTAAAACTTAAATAGGGAACAATCACGTGTAGGTAATTAGCAAAACTATTCATAAAGTATTCAAATAAAATTTTATATTTACGGTCAGATTTCTCTATAATAACATTATATATAACAACACTTTATTATAAAAGTCAAGTTTTTCGGAACCAATTTTTATGTTATGTTATAATATATGTTCTCTACAACAGCACTTTGCTATAACATTTAAAAATATTAGGAACAAACGAGACTGTTATAGAGAGGTTTAAGTGTATAAATTGAATATTCACCCGGTCCATTAATGAGTGCACACATGTCTTTCTTGTTAGAAAACTGTTTATTTATCCAATAACAAAGCTCCCATCCTTCTCGTTGCACGTGTCTTTCTATATAGTTCTTCCCTAATTATTTGTATCTCTAAAGACTCACTCTTATAGCCGGTCATCACTATATATACACAGTCATCAATGGCGAAGTCAGAAATTTTATTTAGGGTGTTTAAATTTGAAATAAGTAAAAAAAAAAGATCGATAAAGAGTATTCAATATATGTTATATAGCATTAAAATACTATATTTTACTTATATATACATTGTAATTTTTCGACGAAGGTTTGTCAGTTGACCACCCTTAGGGCCAAGTACCTTCGCCCCTGACAGTCACCTTTCACACCCTAACCTCATTCTTCTCTATTTAAACGAAGTATACAACATATATAGTAATGTAACTATAGTTTCCTACAAATTAAATCTCCTTTTTCTTGTTTGAGGAATTGTTGATTGGAAAAAATGGGGAAAGATTCATTGCCATTCTTTCTGATGGTGATGGTGCAATTAGGTGGTGCTGGCACGGCTATCATATCAAAGCTTGTTATGGATGAAGGAATGGACCCTTTTGTTCACTTGTCTTATCGCCAGATTTTTGCCACCATTTCTATTGCACCCTTTGCTTACTTCTTCGAGAGGTAATCTTACGTACTCAAACCCTATGCAAATATATGTTTCTAATATATATCCTGATTTCTGCAGTTCCTTCTTTTAGTTCTCGTAAAATATTTCTTCACGATATATTGAGATCAAGTAGAAGTAATTCCTCTGTTATTTATGGTCTTTCCATTTGTTAGGCACTCAAGACCTCAAAATACAGTTTTACCTTTTCTTACTGCATTTTTTATAAGATAAGTATACACAAGGTTGACGACACATATATACCTATTTCATTCTAGCTATGTAATTTGAAATCTAGTCTTCTGTCTAAAACTGTTCGTTTATCGGTGTTTCGTGAACATTTCATCTCTCTCCATAGCATCTGCTAGAGGTGGCAAAATGGTTAAAAGAAAACAGTTATACACCCATATTATCCATCAAAAAATGGGTTGGATAATGAACCATTTAAAAACGGGTCGAATATGGATAAAAAACCATATTATCCACTTAGAAAATGGTTAACCAAATTGGATAACCAATCTCAAAATATAGATTAAGATGAATCCAATGTTTTACTCTAAGAATTGATAAGCTAAGGGTTGAAAGTAGTATCCGCACATATATTAGCTAGTTACAGTTTGTAACACTTGTTATGTAGTTTCTAAATATAATAAAGGAGGTTTTATCCTGAAATTTCTATATTTAAATTCACACCAAATTTAAATAAGAAAATTCTCAGACTTCTAATCTTTTTTGAGACAATAGTCAGATTTCAGCACATGCATACAGCCGCGCATACACACAGCCACATGCAAGAAGTATAAAAATATAGCTTGTATCAACTTTTCTTTTCAATTTGACATCAAATAAATATTAATATATTCGACGTTCATAAAATAAAAGTAAATAAATGATCTCTTATAATTAAATAGAACAAAATAATCCTACAAAAATATTTTATATTTAATTACGATATCCTAGAAAATCATAAAAACTTAAATAATATTTACGATGAATCATAAAATTGAACCTCACGAACAATAGAGTATTCTACTCATATACATTAGTATATGTATCAAAGCAAAGGGATTTGGTGACAAGAAACTTTTATTAAAGGGAGTTTCTCTTTTCATTCTATGGTTCCCAATGACATATCAAATTAGTGCAGTATATTTAAGAAGCTTTTCGAGTAATGCTCTTTTTTTCGTTCTTTTTTAAATTAAAGTCTGCTTTATGGTGGCGTTGAGTCACCTCCCTACCAGTTTTAATTTTTCATATTTTACCAATAATAAAAAGCATGTGTATACTAGATTATATTATCAAACCTGTGCCCAATAATATTACTTTCTTTTTCCCCAATATAATGTTCATTGCTAGACTGAAGATTTTTGTCCCATTACAGGAAAACAAGACCTAAATTGACACCCTCTGCACTTTTCCTAATCTTTTTGTGTTCTATTTTCGGGTAAGAAATCACTTCCCACCCTTTATTCCTTCTTTTACATGGTTAAATCTTTGAATCAAATTACAACAACAACAACAACAAACCCAGTATGTTCCCACCAGGTGGGGTCTGGGGAGGGTAGTGATCTGTACGTAGACCTTACCCCTATACCTAACAGATAGAGAAGCTGTTTCCAATAGACTCTCGGCTCAGGAAGGGTAATAAGAAAAATAGGAAAGCAAGAAAGGAAGAAAGAGGGAAGAGAAAAGAAAAAGGGACAACAGAATAAGTAGTACCAAATAACAACAATAGAAAATACAATACCTGAGGCGAGTTTGAGAAGAGGTCGAGGTAGGTCTAAGAAAAACTGGGGAGAGGTGATTAGACAGGACATGGCGATGATTCAGCTTACTGAGGACATGACCCTTGATAGTAGGGTGTGGAGGTCGAGGATTAAGGTAGAAGGTTAGTGGGTAGTTTTTAGTTGCTCACTGATAGTCTTAGTAGCACGCATGTCCCTTTATATTCTTAGATTTTTATTACAAAGGTTCCATCGGAACAATTATTTATTTCAGTTCAGGGTTCCTCGTCTCTTTTTTTTTTTTTTGAAAAAGAATAAACGGGGGGGGGGGG